GAACAAGTTCCAAAGGCATCTCTCTCAAACTGGTCTTTGGGGTTGTTCTTTGGAAGGCTAAAATGGGGAGCTACGAATAAGCCTGAAGAAATATTCAGGCAGCTGGCAAATGCTCACGTATCGGTGATTACACGACTTGCTTCACATCACAAGTGGTTCATGGCAGAGGCTTAAACAGAACCCAGATCTCATGGTTCTGTATGAAACTGCGTTAAAAAATTCTGTTAGAGAGTGAGAAATGGTCCATTCTCACTGCCTTTGAAGCCTCATAACAGGTGGATGCCTTTTTGAGGAGCTGGATGAAAACAAACCTTTGCTTGGTCTCAAGGAATTTCAATCTGCTTAGTTATATTAAGAAATAATATTAAGGGTAGAGGAAAAATGTAGGGCAAAATTATGTCACATTCTGAAACAGCTAACATAATTAAGACATATTCTCCATTTGATCTAATAATTTATTGAATTATACTTGGATTACTTAATAAATGAAGAACATTACACACACTGTATTAGTCACAGGTGAAAAAAACCGCGTACATGGATGAGTGTAATTCATTCAACAGCTTATAGATCCACAGTCCCCCAGGGACCCTCTCAAACACACACCTCCTCGCATGCCAAACTTCAGATACAAATCTCAGATTCTGATCTCACTAATACTCATTTTACTCCACTATTTTGACAGTATTTCAGGACTGCACCAGGATGAAGACGCCCAATGTCGCTAATACTAAACCTCGCAAAAGGTTTCTCCACCACCTAATAAACAGGAAATAACTGCCACTGCAGTAGATGACAATCTTCTCTTTCATAGAATATAAAACTATAGGCTACTCGAGTTATCTTTCCTTCTCCTCATGATCTACTCATGGTAAAAATGCAGGGCATGCTTCTCAGACAGGTTATGAACAAATCTTAGCTTGAAAGCAGAGTTGGTACCTCTCAGCAGATATGATTAAAAGCTTTAAAACACATTTTAATTTGACTCAACTACCTTTTATTATAAAAGCTTCATCTTACCTCAAAACATAACAACACTGACTGAGAACTGCAAAGAATTCTTCCAAGAACAACAACCTAGAGAGAGACCAGCTGAAGGTGTAAATGATTCAAACGTTTTGTATTAATAAAACACTGTTATTGTTAATAAAAAGGTAAAATAAAATACCATGCATTGTCCTTCACTTAAGTCTGCAATAGTAGCATTGCTCACCAGTCTCATTCTGTGGCCTGCTGAGGGCTTCCTGCAAAATGCTGAGCTGAAATTCTCTGTCATTATCTGAAATCTTATCTAGAGCTTCTTCAAAGTATAAAGCTATGTGAAAAGCATACCCAAACTCTTAGAAAGACAAAATAAATCTTAGTTTGTCTGCATAATACATAGATTATGCAGATTGACCGCTGCATTATTGTAACATAACTGTGTAAAAATCCTTTTGATAGCCTGTTGATAACTTGAATTCATGTAATTTACCTGACCCTTATTTGCTAGGATACCGTGTAAGCCTGTGTTTGGAAGAGAGCCAAAAAAAAAAAAAAGAGAGGGGAGAGAGAAATCAGATAAAACTGTGGTTGGCATAGGTATAGTGAGCAGTACAGAACATATGGAATGCAGAATACAGTGCTATTTCTTGGAAAAACTGGTATTAAACTAAGGACAAATGCCTGAGCCAAACAAACTGCAACATCATTTTCAGTCACTAAATATACAATATGACAAAGAAACAAATTTAGAAAAAAAAATGTTCTGCTGCTAAGCACCACTTTGTAACTGATATGACAAGAAGTATACTTGCCATTTTAGTTTATTAGTCATATTGCAACTGAAGATGAAAGTTAATATTCTCCAGTAAAAATAAAATATCCTGTGACCTTAAATTGACAGTCCTGTCTACCTTCATTGCAGCAGAGGGTGAAAAAAACTTAGTGAAATCCCGAACGATAGAATGAGAGTAAGTAATACGGGATGTACTAACCTACCTTGTTAAACCCCTCTCAGCACTACACACCACTATTAATAAAATGCATTACTTCAACTAATTACATACATTTGAGCATTTATCATCCTCAGTTTATTACTTCTTCAACTCCGCAATTTAGGGATGTCAAGCCCCGTCCCTCCACCACACAACCCGTAACCTACATCAGTGAGTGCCCACGCGGACCTCATCAAGTAGCCAAAGAGTTGCCCTTTCACTGCAAGAAAGTGACTAATATCTAAGCTGGCTCTAAAGAAAGACACTTTTCATAATCGCCCAACAATCTGCTAAGTGAAAACATATGGATAGGCTTAGGTAAAGCCTGCCAGGGGTCTTTATTGAATGGAAAACAGGTGCTCCAGCTCTGTGCCATGTAATACCCCATTTACCATTAAGTCCAAAGGTTACAGGACTAATAGCTGCCTCGCGGTAATCGGGGAAAGCAAAGACACTGGCCATGGTCAAACATCTGGGACATATTTTACATACTTGCAACATATGCTTCAGTTTCAATTAAAGTGAGGCTTTGGCACATTTATTAATCTTTTTACTTTTATGGTATAAGAAGACCCATTTACCTGATTTTTCTATTACCCTATACAAAAAAACAGAGAAATAATAAAAGCCAGGGGCCACTACCAGCTGGAGCTACAAAATGTACATTTGTTTTCTCACAAACCGTCATTTTGCACACAGCTTTAGGAAAGCACATATATGAATTAGAATAATACAAACCTGCAGCCTTTCATTTTGACAAAAAGATGTAAGAGGCGCAGCAGTAGTTAGCAGACTATGTCCAGTGCACCAGCATGGAAAACACCAGCTCCTAACAACAAACATCTCAGCCCTAACTATGCACTTATGTTTTACAGTGTAGTCCAGTGCAAAATAATGCCCACTGCGAAACGTACTGAATATACACGGTAGTCCATCCATGCTTATTTTAAAAAGTGTAATTTTCTTTTCCATTCAAACAGCATATTCAATCATGAGAACTCAAAATGTTTGCAATAATGAAGACAGCTTTGAAATTATAAAAATCAACCTAAACACCTTCTGTACAGAAAGACAGCTCTTAAATATTCAATAAAAGGGCTCACAGAACGCAAACGGTAATGTCAGTACTCACTTTTATTCAACCTTGGTAACTAGATCTAGGAAAATGTTTGAACTCTGGTGTCAATTTGAGAAAGCTGAATATTAGATCACAACATTGAAACTGAGAGTGATACTTCTAATTGGGTATGTTTTGCCCAGCATCTGCTAATCGCCAGAGAAAGTGGGGGTAGGAGGGGTGAACCCCACCCTCATCTTCCCCTTTAGAGTTTGTTTAGCAATTTCCAAAACCCACTAAGCAGTCACTATATAGTCTGGCTTAAACTACAAGCAGTCAACCACTATTCTTTGTGAACTAATCACAGTTATTAAAATATCCAGGAATACACACACTACTGGGATGATACTTTTGCACCAGCTCTAATAATAAAGCAGGAAGAAGCGGGAGAAAATGGCCTCAAATGGATGGCAGATCACTGTTTATCAGAAGAGAAATGATGATTCAAAGCCAGCATGTTGAGTTAAAATACAAGCTCTCCACAGTTACATGACTGACCTTTGCAATAAATCATATATTTTATTGCCAGAAGTGTATGCTCATATCATTTAGTGTTAAAAACCATCACATACATGTTTTGTAAAAGAAGGTTTTGTTACTAGTTTTTGCTGCCTCTGAAATGATGTAGCTAACGACTTAAGTGATGTATAGAAGAATTTCACATAATAACTTTCTGTCAATTGTAAAATGTTTGAGCTGGCAATGGAATGAGGAAAATACTCCTTTTTTTATCATCTCTCAGATGCTAGGTGTTAGCTAACAGAAAAATAATCATTCAGGGGATTAACTAATCACGTTGAATTTTCTGACATTTCAAATGCTGCTGCCAGCATATGAATTCTTACAGTGGTATATAACTGTACCTCTCAACTAGAAACAAAGGTCAAGGGCATAAATTAAGATACACTGTTTTTCTCCTCTTGGAAAAAAGAAAAAAAAAATTATTGCTTTACTACAAGAGAAGTGGGGGAACATCTGTGAAGGTCAAACTCATCTGTACTTTAATTCTGAGTTCTTGTAAAATTATCCATTTTTTTCCCCTTTTCTTTCCTCCCACAAATATCATCTTCCTAGTATGAAAATACTAGCAACAACAGGGCTGCCTTAACCGTGCTCGTCTCACCAGAGAGCTGTCCCGCCAGCGCCAGCCATTGCTTCAGTGGTGCAAGGTCACTCTCATTTCTTCTCTGTGGTTTTTCCCTCTCCCTGGGGGACAACCAATCCAAGCAGTCCCATAGCTTGGCTCAATGAGATGTGGAAATGAGCTGTTATTTACTGTGGTTGCAATCCTCAACCCAACCAGCAGCCGTCAAACAGAACTGCGTTTGCTCAAATAGCTGAGTGATCTGCAACGGTTTCCCAGCTTGCTGGGCCACAATGCCAACTCCAAATCAAGTGGACATCGATGAAAATTGTGATTATTTAAATGCCATACAGCGTGCAAAGCATTTCAGCCATTCCTCTACTAAGTAATTCTTCGAAAATTACAGATGTCAATATCCCATCTTTAACCAGTATGGAGTTGCTATTTTTACACCATTTTTCCCCTAAAGTGCAGCCCTATTTGTAATACTCAAGACAGGACAAATTTTTGTCCTTCAAAAACAGTTGTCACTGCAGTTATCTTCACAAGAGCTATCAAGTTCCAGACAGGCTGAATTATTTTTGTTCTCGGCAGAAAAAATATTTGACCCAGCTCTGGACCAAGGAAAAAAAAAAAAAAAAGGCAGGATCTATAGCCCTCTATCCTTTCCTGCAACACACTGTAGCATTGTTAGGATGATAAACAGCTCTGTCCAATTTTCTGGACTAAAACACTTCAACTCCTTTTTTAACTGTCTGTAAAAACAGTGTCATGTCTAAATTCTCCCATCCCCAGATACCCAAGTGCTAGGAAAGATAATTACCTTGTCATCTCTGTCATCCTCTTCTTCCTCGTCCTCTACCACGTCCTCCACTACCTGCAGACAGAAACAGTAGTAGTTGTCATGATTTAAAAAGGAAGAGTTTTGTTCTGTCAATTCTAAACCTTTTGTAGATGAAAACTTTATTAACATTTGAAATAAATGCACATAAGGAAAATGTACAACTAGGAAAAAACCACTTGCTCTAGAGATTCAAATTTAGGAAAGTGTTACAGCTTTAATTGACCTACATTGGGGAATGATATGTTGAAAACCCTTTCTGTACAAAATGCTTGCTTGACAATTTAAGTATTTAAAAGGTAGTTCAAAATCCAGTGTATGATTGTTTTAACCAAAGGAATTCTTTGTCAGCTCCACTGGTTCCTATGCAGCACACACAAATGCTTGCTTTAAATTTAGTGTTACCTACAGGAAATGTGTAACATTTTAATAGAATTTGCAGCCTTCACCAAGCGATTTTTGAGGACTACAAAGCTGGAAATAAATTCATAGTAGCTTATCTGCTTATGAGCTATAACAGTGATATATACCATATGCTCTATCAGCATTAGCACTATGTTTCTTAATAGTGATTTTATACAATCTGTGCATCTAACTTTCTGCACATTCACTGCTAGCTGCAGTTGCCATATGTCTGCATCTATGTATTTTTCCATTTAAACACTCTTTTCAGTCTAACACTATGAAATATACACATACATTCAATTAATCCTCCAAATATTAATAATTATTAATCACAGCATAAGCATGAAATGAACTGCTATTACATCTAATTTACAGAGAGATCAAATGACTTTCCAAAGATAGTGAGTGGCAGATTCAGACATTAAAACACAAATCCCTCTCTCGTGACACTGTGATCCAGTCTTTAGCCTATGCTACTTCTCTGATGGTGGAACTGAAATAATGTCATACCTCCTTATAACCAGAAAACAACGTGGCTCTTTACACAGGTATTTATATGTAAGTACTTATTAGGATGTAAGAACATCCACAGTCAAGGTCAGCAAAGATCCACCTAGCCCACTGTCATAATATGGATGGAAAAATGTACATTAAGAAATGTGCATAAGAAGGACAAGAGATGACAAACTCACTGATATGAAACATTAATAACGTTGGCCTATTTTACAGACTCGCCACCATCTAAAATGGTAGTTTACTTAGTTATATAGGTGAAGCTACGAGCAGTTTTAGTTTACTTGTCATTTAAGACAACACACTGAAATTGCAACTTCATAATCACCCCCCAAATACAGCTGCAAGGACACTGCCCTCAAGTCCAAACTCATGTCCAAGAATTAAAGGGACGTGAATTAAAGGGACTATCCAAGAGCCAAATTCAGGAAAGAGAAGAACTTACAAAAGTGTGTGTATCAGATGCCTTTCTCTGACTTAGCTCAACCAACAAGGAAAACCCAGTTAATCGCGTTACATGGCCCCACGCAAAACGTAACCACCACACAGGTCGATTTAACAGGCACATAACAGCCTGCATACATGCAAGTCAACCACACAGTTCAAAACACGTCCAGTTTCAGCTGCGCATCCTTTGTTTGAACCCAGCCCCAAAACGTCTCTAACAATGAGCCAGAAACTTTGAAGGGGAAGGAGCCTCCAATTCTGTCTACTGGCTACTCTGTCCTGGAGCTTAGAATCAAAAGGAAGAGTAGGAACACAAAGAAACAGTAAAGAGCATGTCCAAAAGCCCAAGGAAGAAGCCTGACCTGAGCAATTAAGCAAAAATTACTTGAATTCTTTCCTGCCCAGAAGAACAACTTTATCAGCAAGAACCTGACTGACCAAATCTTTTGCTGCCTCTGATCCCCTCAGACTGAAGAAGCAATCAAGGCTGTGCACTAGCCACTAACCCTGAAGAAATTGTCTCCCCCACCAGTTTCTCCTCTGTTTCCCATTTAGGCCAGCTCTGCTCCACTTCCCAACAGAAAGAGATCGGAGAGAGCGCCCGGAGAGTTTGGGATGGTGACACCTCTCAGCGCTGTGAGCATATTGTTGAAATGCTAGTCAGCTCCTGCTTAGCTCACTACTCGACTTCACGCATCCCATTTGGAGCATCAGCTCTACCGAGGAAATGGTGAACTGAGAAGAGAGGATGCAAACAAGCTGTTAAGGGACGCAGAAAGATGGAAACCCTCCTAAAACAGTTTTGCCACACATAAAAAAAAGTCTGTAATTGCATCATTAGGTGACTAAAGCCCAAGGTATAAACCTGAATCTGTTGACTCAGATACTGCCTACGCCTAGAGCTGACTAAACTCACTGGGTCTCTTACTTTTCAACATTAATGTTCCCCAGACACTTAAAGATCTCTTTTATGTACATCCAGAAATGCCTTGTCTTGACAGGATTGAACAGCAGAATTCCTATCTCACATTAGTGCTAAAGTTAGCATGGAGACAATTCGCTGAATTGGAAACCTCTAAAATTGTTGCAAATGATGGCATCTCACTGAAATCACTTACATGACAATACCCATTCTAAATTATCCAGATAATCATACTTCAAACTCACTTCCCCCC